TTTTTTGAAAAAAAAACCTTTTTATAACAATGTGAAATTCAGAATAAAATTGTTTCCACCGGCCCGCAATTCAACTATTGCTTCGCTGAAAGCGCGAAAAGCACATGGACGTGTAAAGAAAGTCTTCCAGTGTCAGAGTCAGACGTTTAATTCGGAGTTTCAAGAAACAATTCCTAATTGAATAACAAACTTTATAGCCGGAGAAAGGGTCAATCGATCAATCGCCGTATTGAAACGACCACATCCGCCATCCCTTCCCCCCGGAGAAAAGCCAGAATCTTTTGTCCGTGTATGTAAATTTGATCATTTTTTTTCTGCTGTGCAGCAGAGAAGCGGTCTTTCCAGAAAATAAGCAAAGCGCTGGAATCTTCAAATATTACGCTATCTATTGACTACTGATAGTTTGAAAAAAGAGGTCTGTCCGGGAAGAAATATGCGCGTATGAAACAAGATAATATTCTGAACTTTAAAGCGTTAAAATGAGTCTCCTTGGAAACCGGCCACGTACGGCTTCTAGCTAGAGATTCGAGCTTTCGAATGATTTCTAACACTCCCTATGAAGAATTCTTGTACAGCGAATGAGGTCGGATATTCATTTGTTCCCTTATGAACGAAAAGTATCATCTATTCATATAATCATACATAAAAATTAAGCAAATTTGAAGAATTTGAAAATGAGCTTGAAACGCATTATTGACGGACCTAAGCATAATAGGAGATATAAGCAATGGAATCACTGCGTAATGAAAGCTAAACCACACAATGAATGAAGTTGAACGATCAGAAAATATACCAGAAATTACTACATAAAGAAAAGTTTCAACGTCAGAGTATATGTTAATATACTTGAAATCCGGTATGCACACACCGCCAATTTTCCATGTCTTGAGACAGATCAATAGAGGTTAACACGAGTAGAAAGTGAGCTATTTCTAGCTCACAGTGTTGCACTGCAAAGGTTTGAGGCTTTTTTCTGCCACATGTTTTGCGGTTGGCGACCTCTATATGTCTTTGGCTTGTTCATATGTTACATTTTGTTCATTCTAAACTACTGAATTGAAAATTAGTTAGTCAGGGACGCAAATCCAAGATTTGTTTCGTACTATGTAAAACTTCGGGGGCGGGGAAAAAATAGCACCGAGAAGCAATATCTGCTGATGAGTCTTTCGATAAAATATTTCTGTTAGGAGCTCCTGCGGTAACATTTGTATCAGAACTCTCCTGAAGCAGATAAAAACCTTGAAGGTGCTAAGTGTAAGAAGAATTTTTTATTTTCACAATCAAAAAACACCAGGTCATGCGACAACGACGTCCAATTGACTGAACTAGCCTACCGCATGCGAAGACTTCACTTTCAAGAACTTAAGACTGAGCACAGAAGAGACCCTCCTCGCATGGCAACGCCTGATGAAACTCAAAAAAAAGCTAAATTGCTCAATTAGGAATGTCAAAGAGAAAATTCGTGCAGGAAATAACTACGTTCAAACATCAACTCTGTATTTGAAAAGTATTACCGTTGAATCACATGTAAGAATCACTGAAGTCCACAAAATGTCTGTAACTTCGCTTCACGTAGAAAGCGAAGCATAAAATACCGCTTCAGAATGGAATTCGTTGAGAAGAAAACTAATATGAGAGTCAAATTGACTGAGTACTGATGTTGATGAAATGGCTCAACTTTACAACCTCTATGGCGAACACTGTCAAACCATTTGCAAAGATTCTCTAGAGGGTCAGGCGTCAGGTCATAAAAAAATGAAGTTGAACTGATTGCTACGAAGACAGATTTATCTTCGAGAAATTGATTTGAGAGCGCAATCGATTGAGTGGTGGTGATGAAGGTGTAGCTAGGCTTACAACCTACGTGGGCTAACAGTTGTCAATCAACTCGCAAAGAGTTATTGTAACAACACCAATTCCTATGGCGATGCCGCCCGCCGACTGACTTAGTATATTCGACGATCGACTATCTACAACCTCATGTTCTACAAAATTTATGACCTACAAAAAAAGAACCGTGGCTGGACTAGTTTAACACATTACTGAGAGCTACGTTACATATGGTTCACATGTGTGCACCTTCGTGGGCCACACGTTTAGAATTTCATTGATTTTGCCCTGTAGGATGGCGAGTTTAAGAGCAGCTACTTCACATATTCCAACTATATTGAGGTATATATGTTAAAGACAAGAACTCTTTTTAGTGAACCGCTTTATAGCAGTAATATGATGACACAAATATACCCAATGATGTTGAATGATGTACAGAACTTCTGCGTCAGGCAGTATTTGAACCCGCATTTCACCTATCCGGGGGCGCGCGCCTTAAACCGCTGCACTACCAACGCCTGTTTTCTCACCACTCTTTCTATGCTACAACGCATCAATCTGTCAGCAACCAACCATCAACGGATTAGCCCAGGTAATCGACATTGGGATTGCACCCAGTTAAGTTCACGAGTATTAGATATATATGTTAGAGGCAGGAAATCTTCTTATTTAACCGCTTTATAGCGGTGTTATAATGATACAAATATTAAATAAAAGAACTGTATACAATATATACATATATATATACTATATATATCCAATATCTGTCAGTGTAACAGATCCAGTGTCGATATCGACCACCAGACCAAACCGTTGACGGTTGGTTGCTGACAGGCAGATTTATGCGTTGTAGCATAGAAAAAGCGATGGCAAAACAGGCGTCGCTAAAAAGCAGCCAAGTCAAAAAATCTCGTAGATTAAATATAGTAAGATGATAACGAATTTCACTTTCACCAATAATATTCATCGATTCTTCTGTTTAACAAATTAGAAAATGCCAGGGGAAAATATGAATTGATTAAATTAAAGCCAATAGCTAGCTGTAAATCGTATTCTATGAAGGAAGGCGATTGTCAAGCTGATTGCATGGGTGGACAGAATACACACAAGTACACCGATAATGCACATTATCGGATTCTCTTTTCTTCCTTGACAAGTGTCAGGGAATAATCCATCATATTGAAAATCATGGTAAGAAAGTGAGATGCGAAAAACACGTGGCTAAAGAGCTACCGTGCCTCAAGGCACATACCTTTAGTTTCAGATAGCATTCAAACCAAAATCGACTTATAGTTGCCCTTTACAATATCGTGTTGTGAAAAGTGCCCACAAAATTTTATCTCACTTATTCCACAAAGCACATCTATGTCAAAATACACTGTTTTGTGGTAATCACAAAAGAACCAATATATACGAAAAGTGTCCATACGTCGCTGTCTTCAAGTTCCCTATATGAAACTTCTGAAGGAGATTTTTAGGACAAGTTAGCGTGGATTTGAAAAGTGCCACTATTTTTGCACCAAACCTATACTCGCATGTCTGTCTTTGTAAGCTTGACAATGAAACATCGATGGTATTTAGAAGAAGGAGATCATAAAAATTAGAATTTTGTGGCTGAAATCAGCGACGATGCATCAACTGGCTGCAGCTAACACTTTACAACACCATCTCGTACATACGTAGATCCGTTCTGCTCGTAAATCATGCTGTTCATAGAAACAAACAGCTTCCAAGTACATTATTGACCGCGAATATCCACCTTTGTCAATGTGATAACCAATGATATGTAGCTATCAGCTCCAACAGGGATTCTAAGTAATATGAACTCAAACAAAATTCTTCTTATTTAACCACTTTCAGCGGTAGTGCGATGATACAGATATACCCACTGAGATAGAGTGATGCACAAAACTTTGACGTCAGTCGGGAATCGAACCCGCACTTCACCCTTTCCGAGTGCGTGTGCTTAACCAAGTGCACTACCGACACCTCTTTTGCACACCACTCTTTCTACGCTACAACGCATCAATCTGTCACACACCCTACCGCCAACGGTTTGGCCCGGCAAGCCATATCGGCATTGATCCCAGTTGCGCTGACAGATATTGGATATATGCGACGGACAAGAACGACGAAGAAAGAGTGGTAACAAAACAGGCGTCGGTAGTGCAGTTGGTTAAGCACGCGTCCTCAGAAAGGGTAAGATTCGGGTTCGATTCCCGAGTGACGTCA